AATGATGTTTCCATCCATAAAGGATTTTCCTTCTTTCGCCAACAAATAAGCATTTTTCATGCTAACTATGATCAATGCTTCATTTTCCGAGTTTGCGTTCTTAAATAAATTTTGCTCAGTTCACAAACTATGATGCATTGTTTCAAATTTTTTAGTACTCTGCTTGTCCTTAAATTGTAAGTAGGTTTAAGCATGTTTTGTTTTATAATGTCGACGTAAATTATATTCTTTAATTACAGCAACAGTGCCATTGCAAATTAAACTAATACAGCTTTGCCATTCATTAAAAACGCGGAATTCGTTATCAACTATTCTTTTTCTTCTTTCCATGTTTAAACCTTAAAAAATAATATTAAACTCAAAATAGTTTGTAATACATTAAAAATGAATTTACACATACCAATTTACAAATGAGTCATGCGCAACAGAACAGAAGACAACAGAAGGCAATCCCGAGGTCAACTACAGAGATGCCACATACAATGCTCTCGATTCTTTTTCTCCCGCTACTCACTAATTCAAAGACAGCCCACAGAATCGGTGTACTCGTGTACCTTCGATATTCGCCCGCTTTCGTACTAATTCGGTATTTACCAAACAACAGCCCAAAACAATATTTTTACGACTGTAAATTTAAATATAATTTTATGTATATATTTTTTTTCAATTTTATTATTTTTAAAAATTAAAAATTATTTTTTTTTCCAAATATGATTTTTGCATTTTTTTCAATTAATGATATACATTTTCGAAAATCAAATGGGTTCGCACGAAAAATCAGTCTTTTTCAAAAACCTTCGCGGGTCGGATTTGGCCCGTGGGCCGTAGTTTGGACATCTCTGCTCTACATCGTTTTCATTTTTATATTGCCTACTTATATTGCCTAGCCTTTAATTAAAAATTTCATGGGTTTATATTGTTCACGTTTACGTTATTATAATCATATAATTTCGCTATTATTTACTGCTTTTATTTATAATTTAATTTTATATTATATAAATAATGCTGGTTATTAAAATTCTTTTATAGAATTCATCTGAAGACAATCGTATAGCTTTCAAAAAAATAATGGAATTAAATAAATTCAAAACAATGCGGTTGAAAGAAAGTTCTGGTATTATAATGATGAAAGACAAAGTTGCTTTTATAACTTTTGAGATTGTCATGAAATTTGCACTCACTCCTTTGGGGATTGAAAATTTTTTGATATCTACAGATCAACTATATACTAATAATATTGCATTTGGTATAGCAAAGAAATTTCCACACAGGAAGAAAATCGACAAAGTGTAAGTTACAGGAATATCTTAAATTGCGTTTTGCTTGTAGTATATTTTTAAATAATATGTGAAATCAGAGTAGGTTAAACTTTGCCAATTGTCTAGGATGGCTATATTTTTATTGTTTAATGGTGACTGAAAGATTGTAAAATCTGCAATCTCCAGTCTGGTCCTGACACCAGCTAGTAATTCCAACTTCGTGCCCTAACTCGTGATTGTTTCGATTGTTTTCTCTTTAAACCGAATACTACTGGCTAATTCAGGGAATAAATTTGCATACGAAAGATCGTATTGCAGTCGAGTGGCAGAAGGGTCATGTCGATTCACGAGATGGAGGAAGACAAATCCACTCTATAAACTAACAATTTATTGATATAAAATATAATCTGGATTTAACACATAAGACATATACATAGCATAGTGAGTTCACAAGGACTGCATAAAATGCAAGCTAAACAAACTCACGTATACCAAGGATAAGTAATGGCTAACACTTTGCTTATTGATGACTGAAAGAGATTACAAAAGTTCATATTACCTGGAGCTTTGCGAGAGAATTAACAACTTTTTCCTTTGGGAGATCTTTACTTCTTAGGCAGGTGTGACAATTACGGCATGTCTCTACTTGGCTTACTTCAATTGCTCAAAAATAGTCACTAGTCTACGGGCTGTCCCCCTTGTATAAAAAATGTACTGGCCAATCGAGTTTGCTCCCGATGCAGTCATATTTTAAATTTTTATTCAACAGGAAGTAATCATCTGCTGAATCAGAGGAAGTCGAGGCGAGATGTACAAATCGATAAATTTTTATCTTTCTTTCAGTTTTACTAGATGTTTTAAAATATTAACTAAAATATAACTTTAAATTTATGTTAAATTATTCATTTATTTTTAAATTGAACATATTCCTTAACCCCAGGTTCTCACAAATTTATTTTTAACTCAATTTTAGAATTTTGCGCTTGTTTGAAAGTGGAATTATAAACAAGTTTGAGAATGATGAACTAAGTAAGCGGAAGAAAAATCAACCATTAAATTCAGTAAACTCCGTGACAAAACAGGTTTTAAATGTAAACGATTTAGCCGGACCATTTTCAATTCTAATGGTTGGATTTATTTTATCACGTGTCGCTTTCTTTCTTGAATATTTCACAGTTAAAGTATATGAATACTTTTCTTAATTATATAATTATATTTGGTGTACTTTTACTATGATAAAGCGAGAGAAGAGGACACAGGTTTCAGAAAATCGTTCTATTTCTATCATTGTGAGACAAATTAAAGAATAAATTATAGCAAGGCATTCCGTTATTGTTATTCTCTTTAAAAATGTTATTTTTAAAATCGTGATAAAAATAATTATAACTAATATACCTAAAATATCCTTTTTAGTCAGTGTCCAACTAGGTTTGGTAAAATGACGCATTATCAGTGGCGGTGTTCTCGTAGTTTTTTCATTACTTTTGTAGATATTGCACCTCAAGAAGACAATAACAAATCAGAAGAAATCAACATAGTTTTATTCCTCATTGAAATGGAAAAAATATTTCATACATATACACGTAATAAATAAATGATATTGGGTTTGAAACATGAGAATTAGACTTCAATTTTCTTCTTTTTAAACTTTTTTTTTACCACACAAATCAGAAGAATTTATGCGGAGCATGCAGGTTCGGATAATCAGTTTTTACGTGTTAGATATTGAAGCTAGTCTGATTTGGAACGAGTATGACATACAGTGGTGCCTCGTATAACGTTCTTAATCCGTTCCAGGTGCACGCCCGTTAAGGGAAAAACATTTTACCATAGAAATACATGTTAAAACATATAATTCGTTCCACAGCATAAAATAACCGTACTGTTCCATAAAAAAAATTGAAAATGGAGCAGTCACCAATTATGCCGGGTAGTCAGATGTTGTGAGGAGGAACACTTTCTTTACACATTTATACAGATACAGACTTTTTACACATTGCAGCAGGTCTCTTTTTATTGTTTTTTTTATCGGAGTCAGATTCAGGAGAGGCTACCGGGGCATGCAGGGTCATCTCTTCTTGTCCCATCCTTTGTTTTTTGGCAGCTTGCTTCTTGAAAAACATGTCCAAGGTGGTCTGTTTCTCTCTCTTCTTCAACACCTGTAGGAAATGATGAGCAAGGGTGTCATTGTAGAGATCATTGATCCTGTTGGTCTCAGTTCTGTTTGGATAATGAGTGTTGGTAAACTCCTTAACCTCTACCCATTTGACAAGGAAGTTTTTGTCAACTTTCACTCCTTCTGATGAGGTCTTGCTTTGTTTCAATTGAAATCAGCTTTCTGTTTTTTTAGAAACCATGATTTGCACAACACTTGAATAAATGTAAATATCCTGAACTGAGGTGATGTACGTAATAAACAAGGGAGCAAGCCGAATCCTAACGCGAGCTCTGTACTTTAGATATTCTAATAATATATTCTATTAATACTAATATATTATTAAAATAGCAGATTGTCATTGGCAACGGCAAAAGAGTGGAAACATCATTCGCACTTGTTCGCAGAAAGTCCGTTGTTCGCCTCACGTAACTGCCGAACAGGAAGTCCGTTGTTCACAGCCAATCCGTTATTCGAGGCGTACGTTATACGAGGCACCACTGTATTCACCTTTATTATATGCTTCAGATTGAAATATCTTCATTTCATAGTGATGATGAGGACTACAACTATAATCGTTTTCTCATCTTTCCTGTTAATTGGTTTTGTTCGTTAATTCCCTTGTGAATTTTTTTTTACTTTTTCAGGATATCTATTCTGGCATGTTTTTTTTTTTGTCTTTGTTCGATATTCGCTTATAATTGTCTTTCTCTTACGCAAATTTGATTAGTGACGTTAGTAGCAGATTTTTGTTTTGTTTTTTGCAAGTGGATGAGTGAGGATAAAAAGAAATGATTATAAGAAAGCAAATGTTTAGCAGTTTTTCCGAACGTGTCTTCTTTATTGAAGAAAATCTGACAGTTTTTCAATTTTAAATTATGCTTTATAAGTTTTTTCGCTCTTCTTTGTAACTGTGAAAACAATTCGAAATTTCCTTTAGTAAAATTACTATTTTTAACTCTAGTTATTAAAGTTTTACTGAAATATTAAATTGTCTGCTTTCTTCTTGTAAAGACAACATATTTGTTTTTAAAATAGCAATACCTGCAACGTTTAAATCATCCCCATTTCGATTAGTGTTGCCACCTCATAACTTAGTCTCGCCCGGAGACGATGATTTAAGAAACCAAAAAAACCCGTATGCATGCATATATAATTTTTTTATTTATATAAATTAACAAATTCAAAACTACAAATGTAATACAATTCTAATGATAACAAAATAGTTTCTATGCATATAACTAATAAAAAACAAATCGAACAATTTACGTATAAAATAAATATAAAAATATGCAATATACAAAGTGGTGTATATATAATTAATTATTTATTTATTTAGATTTTTTCATGTATACTTCCTGTTTGACATCTCAGCCTTTACAAGATCTGCATTTCTGGCTTTCTTATGAATTCATAAAATTCTCAACAGCTCATGTCAAAATTAAGCTTTATGCATAATTTTGCCTTTACTAGCTCAACCCTCATCCCGTTACGGTTGTCTGTCCAGGTATTTCCCATAATCGAAAAAATTCGTTCCACGTATGCATTACTTATAGGTATCGATAGAATCTTACCAACAAGTTTGGGTAGTTCAGTGAAAACATTTTTTGTTGAAAATATTTTTATCAATTCTTTATCAGTTGGCTAATCGAGCGATTTGTTGGAAGGAATGATCTTTTTAACCTCGATCCACTTTCATAATTCTATAAATATAAACAAATAAATTATATTTAGTAACTAACACCTTCAGTCGTGTGTAAAAAAGCACGAATAATTCTAATAAATGCAACTAAAAATGATTTAAAACAGAAAAAAATGAAGTCACAAATAAAAGAATTTCTGCATGATTTTCTTGCCACGTTCGAAACAAAACCAATCAATTTTACAAAAAAAAATTAAGTCTGTATAAATAGTATGATTTACACAAAATAGAACACAAAACGTTCGAAAATAAAGTATAAAAACATCTTTACGCTAATCGAAACGTAAATTTTACAATATTACAGTGTCGGAAAACAAAGAAGCAAACTTCCTATTTAAATTACATTCAGTGATCTAATATATATCAAGTTTCCTAAAACAATAAATTCAACCATTAACTTTATTCTCACGACACGAAAAAATTTTCCACCGCTTAGAATGAAAAACTTAACACAAACTTTATTATTTCTAACCCAAGAAATTATTTTTATAGCATATAAACGCAATTACTAAAACAAATTGTCTCTGTATTGGTCCAAGTTTTATCAAAAGAACATTAAATTCAAAATTTCATAAAAGAAACAATTAAAAAATTCTACGACGTCAATATTAATTCTGAATATAATATAAAACGAGTCAAAAAATTCTCTTACTCTTATTTTCTTGTTGCTTTTCTCCTACCAAATTGTTTTCCTGTTCGTCTGTTTAAATGAATGTTAATATATTAATATGATTACTCTCGATTCCACAGAAAATTCTTTATATAACTGATATATATCAATATAATATAAAAAAATACCTTTTGATTTTTCTCTGTTTCTTCCACAAAATTGATCGGCAGCGAAACAAAATTCCAAGTAATCAGTTTTCTACGTAAATAACAAACGTAACACGATTTTAACAAATAAAAATAGCACATTGTTATGTGTATTAATTATTTTACATTACACGGGTTTTACTAAATGCTTACTTTTACACTCCAATTTTCATTTATCGTTTATGTGTCGCAGTTATTTTCAGATGGGTTTGGTGTCGGATAACAATCCTTTTGGCATCCTTTATCGGTTTGAAACGAGATTTCCCTTTTCTTCGCTTGGTGACCAATAGTGCTTTCATTAATGATGGCATCTTCGTCATTAGTTTTCCCACACCTCATATTGCTCTCTTGTATCTCGAGTGAAGTTATTCGCATATTCGAATATTGAAGTAAACAGATGAATAAAAACGATAGTAGAAGGACAAGCAGGAACAGCAGTAATATCAAGAAGTAAACTATTCTTTTATAGTCGTTTTCTATATTATTCTTCATTATGCTATTATTATTAAATATAAAAATTAATTATTTAATAATTTTCTGCAAAAATAAACTATTATAAACTTTGTAAAAGATTAAAACTGTATAACCTAATATTAAATACGGGGGTGTTAAATTTTTCGAATTTAATTGATTTTAGCAGGCCTATCCTTCGAAGTTTAAAGAAATTCTCACGTTATAAATAATAGAAAGTCAATTAGCTATTTTTCAACCCGAAACGATAAACATAGAACAGAGAGTACACGTAATTTAAGGTTAAATAAAGCACTTAAATGCGTTAATAATAAATTAAAGTTAAAAGCAATAAATAAAATAATTGAATAAGGTATAATAAAATGAAAATTACCTGAATAGGCAATCCTTATATTGTGTTTAACAGAAATGTTTTCCTTAATATTAATAGCTGTCGTTACTTATCATAGACGTGTGATTTAATTATTACATTTAAGTATTAAAGACACAATCTCACATTATTCTTTATTTTAAAAAAAAGTTTGATGTTTAATGTTATTTTATTGTTATAAATCGACGAATAACACACAATTTAACAGATAGAAAAACAAACACACGTAAAGTAAAGCGATAAAAGTATAAAATATACGTAACGGGCAAACGAGAAACAACTTTTCTTTCCTTTTTATCGTGTGCGGTTCGAAGTTCAAATGCAAATAATATTCGAGATTTTTATGTGCATGTAATATTTTTAGTTCAGGTGTGAGAACGAATTTTGAAGCTTAATAACCGCCTGTGCTTTTTGTCGAAAATTTCTAAAATTTTACGCATAGGTCTACGTGAAAGGAGGTCGACACTATTAAAGTTAGATGGTTCAAGATCGAGAAGGTGGAAAGATGAAGGTACTCGTCACATATTTCCAGTAGGGTCGGATTGAAGACAAATTTACCCGTTATTACGATTTACAATTTATTTATAAAACACATCCTTACCCTAAGAATAAAGTTATTTGCCCATTTTATAATTAACAATATGAAAACTCATGTTTATAAATATCGTAACACACAACGTCAGCAAATGTTTCCGGGAAACTTAAGCGAGTCGTTGCTGGATTTTTAATAACGATTTTACAAGCTGACAATTAAATAAACGATGATTTAAAATACGTCCCGAGCTGTTCACACAAAAACATTATTCAAATGCACGTGATTATATAAATTATTTCACTAAATAAAGTAAATATTAGAGATTATCAGACTATTAAAGGAATAATGAGAAAAACTCTTGATTCGCCTTCTTTGTTATAACGATAAACCTGTGATACGAACCAATACAAAATTAATGTATCGATATTAAAATCTATTTCTGCTATAATTTCTCTAAATTAAAAATGACAATATTCAACACGGGAGCAAGTTTTATTTATAAAATTCAATCTAGAGCCAATTTTAAATTGAAAATTGTAACTGTTTTATTACGAAAAAATTTGCAAGAGTAGAGAAATATTTACTTTCAATAAATTCCTTTAAATAAAACGAATACTTACCGAGTAATTTCTTGTTTCGACTTCCACACTTTACGCTTCTACTTCGAGTTTTAATTGACCTACACACGAGTTTTCGTTCGTTTTAAGTTTTTGATAAAGACTTCGTGTGACGTTATTTATTTAATTACAGCTTATCTTTTTAGCTGTTAATAGTTATTAAATCTGTGTTTAAAATATCAAAAACAGATTTACTTAATTAGTAGTTTTTTTTTATTGATTCGAAATATAAAGTAAGGCGGAAGGTAACCGAAGAGTGAAAATATAGCAGAATTATGTGTTTAGAAAGTTTTAATTACTTTCAAATTATAAATAAAAATTTTTAATGTGGCAAATAAACAATGAATTTATCAATAAATTCATCGACTGCAGTACTAACAATGTAGAAAGACACTATTATTTACTGCCACAACTTGTCACAATAAATATTAGCTTCTGTCTTTTATTGTGATCATTAAAATATGTACACTTAACCACAAATTACTAATTACTTCCTCCTGTACAATATTCTTTTCCTGGTAGCAAAACAGTCGTTCCAGTCATCTATCCAGCATCTTTGAGAAATAAATGTTTGAATTAAAATAACGTGACTTCTGGTGTAACTTATATTGGTAGATCTCGTATACTTAAACTGTGTCTCCTTCTTCTATTCATTTCATATATGTTTCAAATTACATCTATCTGACTTTATTCTCGACAATACGACAAAACAGACAAACCCACAGACAGACGGAATGAGGTGCAAATTTGTATGACTGCAATTGTTCTAAATTGCAGCCCAATATACGTGCTTTAAGTGAATGATAAAATTAAGTTAAAATTAATTTTCATTTTATTCCGAAAATGCAATGAACCGTTCATTACAAAATTATAAAAAAAGTCAAATTGTAATTTTTTCTTACGTAAATAACTTTATTACGTCGAAATTTCTATAATTAAGACATTTAATATCAGAATAAATAAACAAATAAAAATAATATCGAACTATATCTAAACTGAAGGTTGTAAATTTAATACTGTAATGGCAAAATTATATTTAATATTTCTGATTTATCACAAGTCTACTGGATTTACGACGAAACAATCGCATCCAACGAGTACACTGCTCTCTACCTTCATAGCCATTTCCATTCTAGTGTCTTCGGTAAATATATATCATTTCCACTATAATAAGCAAAAGCTGTATGACCTGATCAAGAAAGCATTGCGAATA